CTTCATCTTTATGTTCTCGGTTAATGCTGTGCAAATGCATTTGTCTTTAGTAGACTTGTCTGATCTATCAAAACCAGAGACAGTCATGTTCCAATGTAGGTTTTTTGTTTGCTCAACAGGTGCTGGCAAGAATAAGAGTAAAATTTGAAACAACGTGTTTTATTTATTCAGTCTGCAAAAAGTATTCTAAATACTTGTAGTCAACAGAATTAGAAGTAGCTTTAGATTAGCAATTCCTAGCCTTTACAGAGAAAGTTTCATTTTTAAATCTAAAAGCTCTACACAAATTATGTTTTTTTTCAAGGCAAATCCATAGCTGAGAAGGTTAGGACCTAACTGGTTTAAGGGATGTCCTAGTGACTCACACAGTACTTAACTAGGGAAAAATCCAGGTGGTGAGATGTAGATTTTTCTTTTAACCTTTCACCACCGAAGCACTAAGGATCACTATTCACAGGACAATCTCCTGTTCTAATACACGAAAACCGCAGACTCTCTAGAGAGATTTAATTAATAGCAGTGGCCATCATTGAAAACCGGCTTGCGTTATGAATTATACCTGGATCGTGCTGTGTCTGTAATCCGTTCTTTGGGCAGAGTTTCATTAGCCTGCAGCCTTCCGTGCTGATGAACCTAGGGAAAAGAAGACAAACCATGAACTTCTTGTCGAAACGCTCCTCTGTACAACGTAATACCCCAGAAACACGACGCGGAGGGAGGGGAAGCGTTAGGCAACGTGATGCCACGCTGCCACCTAGTGTCACCCGGCGGATGGCGGGGAGCCGGTGGTAGCCCTTCGACAAGTGGTCTTTTTACTGGACAGAAGGGCCACGAGAACAGCAGCAAGGGACACCGAGAGCCACTGTTCACTGATTCCGAGATCCCAAACCCAGCCTCGGGGCTTCTCTTCCCGGGAAGGAATGATATTTACGTTATTCGTAATGATATTGACTTAATAATGTCATTTACAAAATACAAAATACCGCCGTAATTTACCTGCACTTAATGTAGCAGGCAGAAATAAAGAGTCCTTAAGCACCCCAGAGCTAGATAATTATCTGTGGATTACAGTGAAGGCCTTGACAAAAGGCACGATGTGACTGTCAAGTAGAAATACCGTTTTGCCAGTACTTGATTCAGACAGCCAAGTCCAAACTCCCTCTGTCTAATGCTTAGGACGTTTCCCCACGCAGGAGTCCAAGCAAGACTGGACCCCAGGGTCACTGGAGACCGGGTGGTGCCTTCCCACCTATTCCCACATTCCCAGGCCCATGAAGTCCTCCAAGAAGCTTTTTTCCTGTTGTCATCTCCTGTAAAAACTGATAACATTTATCAATAGCAATGGAGTATAAAAGCTCTAACAAGTACATATTGTCTACTGCCATGAATAATCTAACAAATTGGCTGAGCTCTGTGGGAAACCTCGGCGTGTTTGCTTAGGCTCACTTGAAGCGCAAATAGTCATTCATGACAGAAAGTTTTATTTTTTATGAAACAAACAAGCTGAAATACATTATATTGCACTCAGTCTGAAGACATACATTCTGCTAGTAGTGGGTTGACAGATTTCTACATGTAAAAAGGCCATAACCCCTATTTAAATTTAACCTTCAGCCACAAAAATGGGAATTATTACAATAAAGTAACCTGAAACCTTTTTGTGAGATTTTTATATAATTATACTGGTTTCCCACAGTTAAAAACTATGAGTAAGCTCCTGATAATAAGCTCTTAGTGTTCTTGCTGACGCGGTGAAGGGATTCTTTACAAACCTTTCAAACTGAAGAAACTGAACTGAAGGAAAACTCTGAGACACGGTGGTTCATAATAGGACATGTTCTTTAGCTGGATAAATTGAAGGAGTGGCACCTTTGTAATAAACCTCCGGATCATATGCCTCCAGCAAGGAACAAATTAAAAGGAAAACCAAACAGAACTGTCACATCAGAACCATCTCCCATTACCTCAGGCCCTTTCCAATTATAAACATTTCCAAAAGCAGTTGTTCCACTTCTGAACTGTAAGTCGACCTGAAAACTTTTTAGAAATTAAAACTGAATTTTAAAAAGGTAATTTTTGAGAAGGTTTTACTTGAAAACATGAATATTACAAAAAATTGTACCACAACCATAAAATACACACATTGCCTTTTATGTCTATAAATCTATGGATGCATATAATTTAAATGTTTTGTATAATGTATTTTTATATTGCGTATTTCTATTGCTATATAACAATACATAAAACATAAAAATAGGAATGTTCTGATATTGTGTTTATGTACACATTATCTGTATCCAGGCTTTTCTGAAAGGAGATTTAATGCTGGTAAGATTTATGTGTATGTTTGATCAGACTTTAGCATATCTGCTAGTGTTTTGGAATATGGAAATTTCAACTTTTCTTCTAGAATCAACAAGAATTAAATTAACTTAAAAGCATGAACACTTTTTTTTTACTACCGTAACAGAACAACAGTAATTTAGATAGACATTTCTGTCCATGTTGTTTTTATTTTCTTGATAGAAAATGAAGCTTACTGATGTGACAGCTTATTGATGACACTATATTATTTGAGATAATAGAAACTCGGCTGACTGAAAAACTGCAGAAGGGCAGTATGGAATTGAGTAACTGGCAAATACAGCAGTCAATGAAATTCAATGTAGATAAACGTAAAAGAACATACATAGGAAAAAAACTTAATTTCACATATCAAATAACAGACTTTGAACTGACCATCATTCAAGAGTAAGATCTCAGAGTTATGACAAACATTTCCACAGAAATGTCAGCCCGATATTCAGCAGTGGTTAAAAAGGCAAATTGAACGGCATACAGTTCACAAAAAAGCAGAAAGATGGAACAGCTTTCATGTAAGGGATGGCTAAGTAGACCTGGGAGAAAGAACTGGACGGGAATCTGTGTGACAGTGGCTGAGGACCAATTGTTTGCTGCTTTTCCAGTACAAGGACTGGGGACATCAAATGAAGCTATAGGAATTGGGTTAAAAAGAAAAAAAAAAAAAAAAAAAAAAAGAAAAAAGAGGGGGTTCTTCAGAAAACGGCTATTTAAGCTCTATAAGTACTTGCCAAAGGATGTTGAGGACAATAAAAGTTTCAATGGGTCAACGGGAGACTGAACAAGTTTATGCAAGAGAGATCAGCTTTATTTCCTTATCCTTGTTTAAAGATTTCCTAATTCATCATTTCTTAGGTCCTGCCTTTCTTTCTTTCATCGGACCATGACATTCCCCTTAAGACACTCTCGTAAGTGCCACACAGTTTATTTCCAAACGGAAGACTGACAGAGTGGCATGCTAAATAAATACTTCTCTCTGTAATTATCCTAATTTCTAATAGCTCCATCATATTGCCTGGAAAAAAATGTTGATAGCTGCTCTAAGCTAGGTATGAGACCTTGATTGCAAGGAATGTGTCCTTAACTCTACAAACATGTACTCACAAGTCAGCAGAAGATACTATTAGCATAAATAAAGATAAATGTGCAAATATTTGCAAGAACATAATTGTAAAGTGGCCTCTAACAAACCTAACAGCATACCTTACACATAATTAATGGAGAGTTGTAGTCTGTATCATATGTTAAATTTATTGTTGTGTATCAGTTGTTGTGGCTTAACCATGTTAATTTTCTTCCCCGGTTTTGCAGATTGTACTGTATTTAGATAGGAGTGATGACAATAAAGCAGATACGTGATTTAAATTTGTTTGGGTACAATGTCTTTATAAAATACAACAAATAATGGGCGTGGGAAAGCAGTCAGGGAGACCTTGTGTCTAGTTTCAAGCTACAGGGAGATTTTGAATATGGCACCAGTAAACTAGCGTCGTATCTAAACGTCGATGAACGACACGTTGTAATGGCCAAGAAGAGCACCAGGCAATGCTTGCGTGCTTCATTTCCTACAGCTGCAGTTCGGGTGACGCCGGCTCAGGGGCAGACCCGCCACCGCCCCCGCCCGAGGCACCGGCAGGGCCAGGGTGTGTGGTTCACAGCTGGGGTGTCTCATATCCCAGGGCTGTACTCCTCTCACCTTCCTCGAGATGAAAGGCTCTCCCCGGACCACCTGCAGAGGCACTCGCCCAGCCGTGCCCTACCTCCTGCGGATCCCCGCACCCCGCCCGCCT